AAGCTATTGGTTGTAAATGAGTTTTCATCATTAAAGTGAATCCTGATGGGTCAATTGCTCGTCTTAAGGCTCAATTAGTTGCTAAGGGCTATTCTCAGATTTATGAACTTGATTACTCTGATACTTTTTCTCCTGTCGCCAAATTGTCTTCTGTTCGTTTATTTATTTCTTTAGCAGCTAATTTTGACTGGCCTTTACATCAACTAGAAGTTAAGAATGCCTTTCTTCATGCGGATCTTCAGGAGGAAGTTTATATGGAGCAACCACCAGGCTTTGTTGCTCAGGGAGAGTTGGGTAAAGTGTGTAAACTTCGAAAATCTCCTTATGGCCTAAAACAGAGTCCTCGAGCTTGGTTTGGTAGATTTTGCAATGTGGTACATCAATTTGGCATGCAGAAGAGTACTTCTGATCATTTGGCATGCAGAAGAGTACTTCTGATCATTCTATATTTTTCAGAAGTACTAAAACTGGTTTGATTCTACTTGTCATTTATGTTGATGACATTGTTATTACAGAAAGTGATTCAGTCGACATTACATCACTCAAGTCATTTCTCCAGACCCAGTTCCAAACAAAAGACTTAGGACTGTTGAAGTATTTTTTGGGTATTGAAGTGTCTAGGTGTAAGAGAGGCATCTTCTTATCTCAAAGGAAGTATGCCCTTGACTTACTGAAGGAAATGAAAGGTTGGGTGGCCCAAACCATTGCAGTGCTCCAATGACTCCTAATTTGCAACTTCAATTTTGGTGGTGAGCTATTTTTGATTTTTGATCCTGAGATGTAATAGAAGGTTGAGTGGGCAAACTGAATTATCTTACAGTAACCACGGTCCAGATATTGGCTTACTCTGTTGAGCGTCTTTAAAGCAGTTTATGGTTCTTTCCTGCTGCTTATCCATTTGGGGGGAAGCTTTAAGACAAATTTTGTGCTACTTGAAAGGCAATCCAAGTCATGGCCTCCTTTACAGTAATCATGGGCATTTGAACATTGAGTGTTTTTCAAATGCGGATTGGGCAAGTTTGAAGGTTGATAGAAGATCAACTTCAAGATATCGTCTCTTTGTGGATGGAAACCTGATATCGTGGAGAAGCAAGAGACAAAATGTAGTCTCACGATCGAGTGTTAAATCAGAATATCGAGCTATGGCACAATCTACTTGTGAATTAATTTGGATTCGTCAGTTATTAGAGGAAATTGGCTTGAAGTGGCTTGAAGTCATCGTTGCCTGCAAAGTTATGGTGTGACAATCAAGCTGCTCTTCACATTGCATCAAATCTAGTATTCCATGAACGAACAATACATACCGAGATTGATTGTCATTTCATTCGTGAAAAGATACAACAGGGTGTTTTCTCTATAGGGCACGTTAAAACAAGTGAACAGTTTGGAGATATCTTTATAAAAGCTCTAAATGGACCTCGGGTTAACTATCTTTGTAACAAGTTGGGCATGATTAATATCTATGCTCCAACTTGAGGGGGAAATTGAGGGGGAGTGTTTTAAAGATTAGTTGTAAATAGAACTCTATTAGAGTAGATTCCTAAATAGGTTATAGTATCTTGTATGTGTATATATGTGCTATCTTTGTAACAAGTTGGGCATGATTAATATCTATGCTCCAACTTGAGGGGGAGTGTTTAAAGATTAGTTGTAAATAGAACTCTATTAGGAGTAAGATTCCTAATAGGTTTATAGTATCTTGTATGTGTATATATGTGTCCCTATTGATGAATCAAATTGAAGAAAAAATATTTTTCCACATTAAATTTACAAGGAAGATAGAATTATGGAAGATAGGAAAAATAAAGAAGGAAGAAGAGGCTATACAACTTTTTATATAGATCCTATACTGCAGCTAATCTAGTTGCAACCATATACAAATCATGTTCAAGATCACAATTTAATCCTAAACTCATAATATCTTTATAATCAAATCAAAATAGAAACTTATTATCTTTGCAATTATATGACTATATATTTTATATTATTAATGATTTTTTCAAATTTTGAAGTTATTATATATTTTTTTAATTATTTTTTTATTTTTGTGCATCATCTCACTAAGGTTAGTGCTTAGGCCCTGAGGCTAGCGCCTAGGCTCCAGCAGTCCTTTGCGCCTTTAATTACTATGGAATCAAGTGTCTATTGAGGGAGCTTTTCAAACAAAATTGAAGTTCAAACAGACATCATCAAAGGAAAACAAGAAATCATCTACAGGAAAGTATCCTCCATGTGAAATTTGTAAGAGAACCAGCCATGAAGGAAAGGATAGTCGGCACAGGGGAGAGCCATAATGCTTTTAGACATAAGAGATTTGGGCATACTGAAAAAGTTTATTGATTTAAAGAAATCAGTGCAAATCTATAATATACATAAATGTAGGAATGGGGGAGAGGGAAACATTGGGTTTTCCGAAAATGACCCTACTAATTTTAAGGAATGACAAAATTATCTTGAAGGGTTTTTATTTGATTGATAGATAGAGAAAGTAAAGGTTATTTAATTTTGAATGGTAGAAAAAATAGAGTAATTTAATTTTGATTGGTTATATTAGTTTTCCTATTTAAATTTAAATTCTATTAGTTTTTCTATTTAAATCTAAATCCTTTGATTAGTATATGAATTTCCTAAATTTTCTTGAAGTGTTTTTATTTCATTAGTAGAGAAAATAAATGTAATTTAATTTTTACTGGTTATATTAGTTTTCTCTTATATATAGTTTTCTCTTATATTATTATATACTATATATATATATATATATATATAATATATATGATATATTATAAAAGATTTATTATTAATCCATTATAAAATTATTATAATCCATACAAATGTGGGAATGGGAGTGGGGGGAGGGGACATTGGAGTTTTCCAAAAATGACCATACTAATTCTAAGGAATAACAAAATTATCTTGAAGGGTTTTTATTTGATTGATAAAGAAAATAAAGATAACTTAATTTTGATTGGTAGAGCAAATAGAGTAATTTAATTTTGATTGGTTATATTAGTTTTCCATTTAAATTTTAAATTCTTCGATTAGTATATTATTTGAGGTAATTTAACTTTAATCAGTAATATTAGTCTTTCTATTTAAATCTAAATTCTTTGATTATATATTAATTGATTGATTATATTAATTTTCCTATTTAAATCTAAATTCTTTGATTAGTATGTTAAATACCTATTACATTTTTTTATAGTATTACTTTGGTTTTCTTTGTTTTTCTCGTCAATCTCAAAAAATAATTTCTGTACAAGTAAATTTTCAAAAGGTAGAATTTCTATATGTTTTCATAATCTATAATAGAATTATTATTATTATTATTATTATTATCACTACATACTTTTTGTCCTCATCCAATAATATATAATTGTTCTATTTTGTATATGTATTATTTTTGTTAACAGTTTTATAATAATACTGGTAGTTAATAAATTATTTTGATTTGTCGATTTAATTTTTAACATAACATTGGAATCGCTTAAAATGTCCTTATTAAATTTCTAGATTGACAAAAATATCATTAAGAACTTAAATTTTATTGGTTGAAAATAAAGATAATTTAATTTTAATTGGTTTTATTATATTATTAATTTCCTATTTGAATCTTCCTATATCATTAAGGTCTTTAATTTTATTAGTTGAAAAATAAAAGCAATTTAATTTTGATTGGTTTTATCATATCATTAATTTTATATTTAAATCTAAATTATTCTTTGATTAGTATATTAATTGATTAGTTATTTAGATTAGTTGTATTAATTTTCTATTTAAATTTAAATTATTTAATTTTTTATATGTGCTATTGTTATTTATAATATTATCTATATCTAACAGAAAAGCATAAATGATAAATAAGCATAACTAATATATACTAATAGGCATAACTAAATATATAAATGACTTTTTAGTCCACTTCTAATGATTTTAATGTAAATGAAAAAATAAGCACAAAATTAGAAATATATATAAAATTGTCATACTTATAATACTATAAGTAAGCAATTAAACTTCTAATGAACGCTACAAAATAATTCATTCAAAAACACGTATACTAACAAAAAAGAATTTCCAATGATAGAATAAACCAACTACATTTATAATACTATAAGTAAGCAATTAAACTTCTAATGAACGCTACAAAATAATTCATTCAAAAACACGTATACTAACAAAAAAGAATTTCCAATGATAGAATAAACCAACTACATTTATAATACTATAAGTAAGCAATTAAACTTCTAATGAACGCTACAAAATAATTCATTCAAAAACACGTATACTAACAAAAAAGAATTTCCAATGATAGAATAAACCAACTACATTTATAATACTATAAGTAAGCAATTAAACTAGTAACAAGAACGGGATGAACTTATTGGTGAGAAATGCCCATGAAAAAATCAAGAATTTCGGAGAGAAATGCTCCATGAAAGATGATCAAAGAGTTGAAAAGAACTGCTAAATAAAGTCCAATTAATTTTGCAAGTTGGAGAGATAAGGCTCCAAGGTAATTCAAGTTGGAGTATTTTGCAAAAGTATGAAGGCTTAGAGTTTCAATCCAAAGTTCCAAGGAGGAGAACTTTGAGGCTGGAACTTTGTCCTACATGTAAGTCCAAGTTACCTACCAGCAAATTTTTCCCTAATGTGATGGCATCCAAAATCTCCTTTTGGATTAGTTATAATTTTTACTGATCATGTAATGTACATTTATTTAAACTTGTAACTTATCGTATCTTTATATCTAATCAAAATTCAAATTTGATTAGATTTAAAATTTAAATTTGACATGGAAATATGCGTAACCCTTCTATAAGAAGGCTCTTCCATTGACTGTTATTAATGAGAAAGATATAGTTTCTTTAAAAACTTTCTTATCTTTCTCTTAAAGGTTTGTTGTCCAAAAGATATCCAGCTCAAGAAAAAAAAAAAAAAAAGAAAGAAAGAAAAGACACCAAATTATTTCTGTGTAAGCCACAAATAATAAGGAAACATACCCAAATCGTTTCACAAAAGATCTGTAGGCAGGTAATAGTACTTCAGCAACAGCAAGCCTGAGAGACTCTCGCAACTCGGTGTCAGGAACAGTCCACTGAGATTGTTTTTGGTGAAGCTCCTCAAATTGAGCATTGAAGATCTTGAACCTGAGAATATAGTGCATCTCTCCATACAGGTAAAAAAATGTTCAAGAAAATAGCATGCATGAAAGTAAGAAAATGAGTTAACAAGCCAACAAGTTAATGTTCACCTGTCTTTAACCAACCCCCTTGAAGCCCCACTTCCACTTCCTCCCTCACCCGGCACTGCACTACCACCCCCAGATGAGGTTAGGCCTTGCGCAGAGAGACATTGTAGAATCTGAAAGCACAACATTCAATTAGCCAATAATCAGCTCTTTTTACAAGCAATCTCCAAAGATTATGGCAAGAAAGTATTTAATTTGCATAACAATTTTTTTTTTTTTAATTTGACAAACAAATTAGGCTACTCAACCAAGAAACATTCTTCAACAAGAAAATAAAGACTAGATAAGTGCAATTGAGAAATTACCAAATTTGTAAAATGAATCGACACACATAATTCACCAGCAAATAGATAAGAAATCATAGTTTCAGCAAAACTCACATAATGTAACAGGAAACGGACAACTCTACTCCCAATTTGTTGAGAGAGAGAGAGAGAGAGAATTAAGTAGCCGTTACCTTTAGACCTAACTACGCAAAACTATATACACATTATCGGGTTCAATAACAAGGAGAACTACTAAAATACCCTTATTATTTGTAACATTTCCTCTCGAACTGGAGCATAAATGTTAATCATGCCCAACTTGTTACATATGAAGTTAACACTACATCTTGCAAGAGCTTTGATAAGCAAAACTTCCAAATTGATCTCCATTTCTCACATGCTTTGGAACGATTAGGGCTTGCTGAACTTTTTTCACATATAAAACTTCAATGTGTTTTGTGCATGAAAGGCTAGGTTAGAAGCAAAATATGAACAACAGCCTAGTTGTCACACAACAACTGTATTGGTGGCAAGGTCCCCAATCCGATCTGTTGAAATCTTTGTGATTAAAGTAAATATTGTATTTCCTAGTTTAGGTTTATTCCTAATTAGTGTTAAGATTGTGTTTCCTGGTTTAGGTTTATTCCTATTTAGATTACTTCCTATATTGGAACAATTTTTGTATATATATAGTGGAGTAGAGGTTGAAAAATATAACACAATTGAAAGGAGTAGAGTTGAAAAATATTAACCACAATTGAAAGAAATAAACATATATTTTCCTTTTAATTCTACACGATCTCATCAAGCAGGTGATATACCCATAGAGTTCAGAATGTAACGCCAGTAGCCTGACACGTGCAAATCTAACTATATTGGAACAATTTTTGTATATATATAGTGGAGTAGAGGTTGAAAAATATAACACAATTGAAAGAAATAAAACATATTATTTCCTTTAATTTCTACACGATCTCATCAAGCAGGTGATATACCCATAAGAGTTCAGATGTAACGCCATAGCCTGACACGTGCAAATCTAAAGCAGCTTCTAAGGCCAACATGAGCATAAAGCAGCAAATATAAACCATTACGATTTGATAGTGCTCGCGTGATACGTGTCTGGCTATTTCCAATGAGTTTTTCTGGCTGCTATTAGTCTCTGGCCATCTTCTCTGAGGATTGCACCTCTGCCCAGTGTCAAGCCACCACCTAGTTTGCTTTTTCATATTTTCACCAGTGTTATACCCCCTGTCATACTCTCTATTTTGGGTTTTATTACTTTATAATATCATGGGTGATGAGACAAAGTACCATAACCAAATATGCCAGAACCAAAAATGGGTTTTTCTCATAACAATGTTTTTGATCCTATAATTAACAATGTTGATATTCCCATTGCTGTCAGGAAAGGAGTTAGAACTTATACCAAACACCGTATATCCCGATTTTTTTTCTTATGACTCCTTATCTCCTTTCTATAGAGCCTTTGTATTTCTTGTTTCTTCTATTTCTATTTCACATAATTGGCAAGCATATCAAAATCCAAAATGGAAAGGGGCAATAGTGGAGCCGTTTATGTTGATGACATTGTTATTATAGGGAGTGATTCAGCGGGCATTACATCACTCGAGTCATTTCTCCAGACTAAATTCTAGACAAAAAAAACTTAGGATTGTTGAAGTATTTTTTGGGTATTGAAGTGTCTAAGTGTAAGAGAGGCATATTCTTATCTCAAAGGAAGTATTGACTTACTAAAGGAAACTGGAAAGTTGGGTGCCACACCATGCAGTGCTCCAATGACTCATAATTTGCAACTTTCAATTGGTGGTGAACTATTTGATGACCCTGAGATGTATAGAAGATTGGTGGGTAAACTAAATAATCTTACGGTAACACATCCAAATATTGCTTACTCTGTGTGCGTCTTAAGCCAGTTTATATCTTCTCCTACTGTTATCCATTGGGAAGCTTTAGGACAGATTTTGTGCTACTTGAAAGGTAATCTAGACCATGGCCTCCTTTACAGTAATCATGGGCATTTGGAGATCGAGTGTTTTTTAAATGCGGATTGTACAAGTTCGAAGGTTGATAGAAGATCAACTTCAGGATATTGTGTCTTTGTGGGTGGAAACTTGATATCGTGGAGAAGCGAGAAACAAAATGTCGTCTCACGATCAAGTGCTGAATCAGAATTCGAGCTATGGCACAATCTGCTTGTGAATTAATTCAGATTCGTCAGTTGTTAGAGGAAATTGGCTTCAAATCGTCCTTTCCTGCAAAGTTATGGTGTGATAATCAAGCTGTTCTTCACATTGCATCAAATCCAATATTCCATGAACGAACAAAACATATCGAGATTAATTGTAATTTCATTCGTGAAAAGATAAAACAGGGTATTATCTCTATAGGGTATGTTAAAACAAGTGAACAGTTAGGAGATAACTTTACAAAAGCTCGAAATGAACCTCGGGTGAACTATCTTTGTAACAAGTTGGGCATGATTAACATCTACGCTCCAACTTGAAGGGGAGTGTTAAGGACTAGTTGTAAATAGAGTCCTGTTATGAGTTAGATTCCTAATAGGTTTATAGTATCTTGTATATGTACATATATGTGTCCCTATTGATGAAACAAATACAATAATATTTTTTCCACATTTAATTACAGAACTGATCAAAGTGTTAGACATGTTTAAGTACAGGTAGGCTAATTTCTCGGTGCAGATGGAGAGTAAGATAATGCATATCAATTGCAAAAGGTATTTTATTCAAGCATCTCTGGCACCTAGCACCTAGAGCACATTTAAGGGCAGTTTCATCTTTTTTTTTTTTTTAATCAAGTAGTTTTCACTCAATTGTGAGATTAGAACAAAACCTTTGCCCAAGCATTCCTTTTATATTGATTTGCATGCTGCTGCACAATCCTTCTGTGTCTTTGAACCCAATCATCCCCTAATAAGTCCTTGGCTTCAGATCTGCAAAAACATGAAACTCTCACAAATTTAATCCACTAAAAATAGGGGCGAAGTTTTTAAGGATTCTAAAACGATGCCATATACACTACATACCTACGTACAGATCTGACCATGTAGTGGATGTTGTTCATGAGAAACAAGTGAGTCAAAGCTGGATCTTTATACTGCTTAGATTTACCATCAAGATTTGTTTGAAGAGCCTGCATTATTCGCATTGTCACAGAAGCTAACTGTGAACTTGTTTCAGCTCCGCTCTCAAATTCTTGGAAGAGTTGTTTCAAGGTTGATTGGTAACTGTAAAAGATTAGTGAGCCATTTCATGTCAATGTATGAATATAACAAATATTAAAATCACAAGATGATATCAAGAAGGAACTTCTAGGGGCAAGGCGGGGGAAAGTGTATTTAGAAACAACCAAAGAAAGCCTATTAAGTCAACAGACTAGACTTGCCTATTCCATATCTTCAAGTTGAAATACCATTAAAACTCTATGCGGACATAAATTCAAATTCATTGACTTAAGTATCCTAGAATAATGGTCCAGAACTGATATAGGGTTTATTAGGAAAATTATAAGTACAGCTGGTCCTTTTAGGATGTTATTTCTGTCTATACACGTAATTGTATTGCTGATCTATTATTTAAGTTTGGGGTATTTAGAAATTTCTATCCATGCTATAAAATTTTCCTGATTACTGTATGAGTCTTATCTTTACTTTTGAATCTTATTTTAAGTACTTGTTGGATGCCTTGGTTCCTTATCGTTTTTCTTTGTGAATCTCATTCCCTGGAGGTTCATGAGTAGTTTTGAAGCTTAATGCTTTGAGGTTTGATACAAGTTTGAGTTTATAAGTACATATGATTGGAATAATTATAATTCAATTTTGTTTTAAAATAAAAAAACCAGCAATTATGCTTTTGAGCATGGTTATCAGAACCATAGATTCTACCACAAATCAGAAGGACCTTAATCGGTAGAATCGTAAAAGAATTGTATGATTCTACCTCTTAAGAAAAACTATTAAAAATTTAAATTTTGCAATTAAGAACTCCAATACAAGTGGCAGGCAAACCAATGGCAGCAAACCACATGCAAATTGCCATCACAATCATAAATTCACATAACGACAGCAAACACTTACATATGACAAATTGTATTGTTGTTTTTCTTTTTAATCCACAATAAAAAATTGTAAATATATTTGACATAATCATGTAAGAATGCCGTGATACAAAATTTTTGAGATTTTTATCATCACATATACTGAGTTTTTAAATTTAAAAATTGGAAAACACACATGCAGCAACTGAAGGCACAGCCAATATCTAAGCACAAGTTCTAAATAAAAAAAAAAATCAAAAGAAAAAAAGTTTCAGTATGTAAGATAAGTGAAAAATCAGCTATTCACGGCTATAAAGACTCAGGCTGGGCATAACATATGGTCACTTCCTCCATTTATAAAAAATAAAAATAAAAATAAAAATAAAAATAAAGCAAAAAGAAGAAAAACAATTAGAGATTCTATTTTGACAGATGAAGCAGCAAAAGGAAGGAAAGAACAGCCAATAAAGGAGAAAGAAAAGAAAAGAAGATAAACGAAGATTATAGAGACAGAGAGGGAGAGAGAGTAGCTTAGCCAATAGAGAGAGAATCAGTTGATAGAGAGACTATTAGCTTCTTCTTCATTCCCCTTCTATTGCTGCTGGTCTTCGTTCCCTTTTTCTGATTTCTTTGTTCAATCGATGGACAATCAGTTAGGGTTTTTTTGTTTTTCATAATTTGTGGCGTTGATAACAAAGCCCAATTTCCCATAGGAAAGCATTGAAGCAGTTCAATCGTCCAATTCAAATGCTTCTACGATTCCAAACGCGATTCCAGACAATTCTAGCTTCCTACCAATTCAGGAAGCAATTTCGAACGGCTTCCCTCCCTTGCCTCATAAAATCGTACACTTCTATGGTTTGAAGCTGTTTTCAACAACCATGCTTCTGAGTTGTGTGATGCAATTCCACCCTAGGTGTGATATCTTGCTATGTGTAATGCTTCAAGAGATTTGTGAATCAGTATTAGAACTTCCTATTTAACTATTCACGGTACCATACAAGACTTGCCTTTAACTTCACTGCAAACAACCCCTATACTCGGTTTTGTTATTTTTGGTTCTTAGGTATTCTTGGTTACAAGTTCTAATCATTCTACCAGCACTACAAGCTGTCTCCATCAATCATACAAAGCTAAATGCAACTATTGGAATCAACAAATTACCACATGCATCAATAAATAAAGGTTGAAATAATCAGACTTACTGTAGAATTCTACAGGTTGAAGTTGAACCAGAAGTACTGTTGACAGAAGAAGAATTGGAGAATAACAAAGAAATTTTCTATATTAATTTGTGTGTTCAAACACTGTACAATCACCTTAATCTGTACAATAGCCTAAACCTAAAAAGAACCTACAAATATAGAAAACTGGAAAATCCTCCTAAATTATTACTATAAGATACACGAGGATATCATCCTTTCAATATTTTTTTCCTCCATCGCCTAAGACTCATAATGAGTCCCTTGTTCAATTTTGAGAATATTTATGGTCTTCTCTCACATATATTATCTATATGATTTTCATAATTGTTGAGATTTTTGAGTATATGGGGGAAAACTTTTTCTATATTTCTATATCTCTTAATGAGATCATATATGTCCTATTTATACACAAACATCTAACTATAAATAGAAAAAGTATACAAATAAGTTAGAAGCAATATTCTCTCCTAAATGGGCTATACAATGATGTTCTAAATCATACAAGTCAACACACCTGCTCAAGTTGGTGCATAGATATTGCACATGCCCAACATGCAATCTAAATTATGAAATTGTTTGCTATCAAGCCCTTTGGTAAGAATGTCTGCAAGTTGATTATCTGAAATCACATGAGTAAGCTTCAAAACACCTTGGATAACTTTTCTTTTATGAAATGTTGATCAATCTCTATGTGCTTTATCCCATCGTATTGAACTGGATTCTGAGCAATACTAATGACGGCCTTGTTATCATAGGACAAGTCAAATCTTTTCCTTTCAACATTCGCAATTCTTCTATTATCTTCCTTAACCATAACAGTTCACAAACCCTTGAGCCATAGCTACATATTATGCTTCTGCGCTTGAACGTACCACTACATTCTGCTTTTTACTTCTCCAAGTAACTAGGTTTCCTTCAACAAAGGGACAATAAAAAAATGTTAATCTTTATCATCTGGAGATCCAACCAGTCAGCATCAGTAAAGGCTTCAGGTTTGAGGTAACCATGCTTAGAGAAGAGTAAACTTCTTTGCAGACTTTAGATATTTTAAAATGCGGATGGCAACTTAAAGATGAGAACTGCAAGGATCATGCATATATTGGCTAACTAGACTCATGAAATATGCTATATTTGGTCTAGCATGTGAGAGATAAATCAATCTGCCAACCAATATCTGAAATTGACCCAGGTCAACCGGTTTCCTATTTCTGATTGGAATTTGTGATCAACTTCAATGGGGGAATCAGCTAGTTAACAACCCAACATGCCAACTTCTTTCAAGAAGTCCAAGATTATATTTTCTTTGAGAGATAAAGATCCCTTTATCATTCTTCTTCTAGATCTCCATGCAAAAAAGCACTTTTCACATCAAATTGATGCACGCTCCAAAGTCAAGTTTTGACAAAAGATGTTTTAATGATTGTACCTCTTCAATAGAGATACTCCCAGGGGATGATGCTGCAAGTATTGCTACTACTTCAGTCTGGTGTACAATAGGTCTAGATGAACCCATTCTTTTACCACCACGACCCCTTAGTCGATCATTCATGCAATATCCAACATGATTCCTTAGTATGTCTCGGCTTTCCACAGTTACAACATACTAACTTATCTTTATTTGATGAGGTCTGTGGAATTTTGCATAAGTTGAAAAGCGAGAAGTCCGGAGTTTTCAACAAAAGTAGTAGTTAGCATGACAACTCTTCGGCTTTCTTCCTGTTGAATATAGGAGAATATCTGCTACAATGAAGTTCTTTCCTCAAGATTTGAATCTGTATTGGATCATATTCAGTATTCAAACCTACAAGAAAATCATATATGCTTCCCTTCTTGACTTTCCTCTAACATCCTACCACATCAGCCTCACATTTGGGATGATAATCCTCATAGTAATCAAGTTTTTACCACAAACTATTCAATTCAGCATTATACTGATTACTGGTCATCTCACACTGCTTTGTTACTTGATCTTTATTCCAAAGCTCATATACTTGTGCATCATTTCCATGTTGAGAATAAGTTTGGGAAATACTCGTCCAGATTTTTTTTGCAGTATCCAACATCAAATACCCACTAGAAATATGAGGTTGCATGGAATTAATAAGTCAAGACATTACCAAAGAATTTTCAGAATCCCATTTATCATAGGTTGGGCAGGTTGTTTCAGGTTGGGTTTGAGTTCCAATAAGATATCATTGCAGCCCTTTAGCTTTATCAATAAATAACGGAAAAGACCTTGACCAAGCAAGGTAATTAGGGTTATGGAGCTTAACGAGACTGATTTGTAAGAGGGATTGTCATTAGAAAAACCCGATTTAATTCAGTGGTTTCAATGGTTTTTTTCACATCACCCATAGCTAAAAATAAAAGGGAGGCACAAATAGGCAAAGAGTTCAAAGAAACAATACCTTTTTTGTGCGTATCAAAAGGGAAATTAATGAACCTGAACCAAAGTCAGTTTTAGAGCCCAGAATAGGGTCACCAGAGTAAAGGGAGTCAACTGAAGGGAATTGCGGTGAGACAAGTTGCCGGAAAACGGTGCCACGTGCTGGTGTGTGAAAGAGAGACCGTAGCTGTTTCAGGCGCGTGAGCTCACGCGCTTCGCTAGACGGTCACAAGCTTCTGATGAAGGACAGATTGGTGGCTCGGCTTCCTTCTGATGGTGGCGGTGACGTTATACAAACATGGGGAAAAATTTATAGAATATGGGGAAAAATTTTTTCTATATTTCTACATCTCTTATTGAGATTATACACATCCTATTTATATACAAACATCTAACTCTAAATAGGAAAAGATACAAATAAGGTAGGAGCAATATTCTCTCCTAAATAGGCTATAAAATGATATTCTAAATCACACAACTCAAAGATAATACTCTGAGTTTGAGTTTAACACTTTCCGTATGATGAATATTTCCTGGAATTTTCATATCTTGAAAATTCTCAATAGCAGATAAACAATCAATCTTTCCTACAACCAATTTGATTCTTTCTTTTTATTGCTACAAAGAACAGCACAGAAGAATTAATATTTGATATTCTGTGAACCTTTTGTGCAAATGATTTTTAGCCTTCTTGTTGCATGATACTCTAGCAAAAGCATTTGAACAGCTTGGCAACCTCTAAGGTTAAGGCATTTGTTTGGTTAAAATTTCAGAATAGATTTTAAGTGCAGAATGCTAAACAAAAACTTGAAGCACGAGACTCAAATATTTTTTGTGCGATGGTCGTATTGATATGAAAATTGATGGACAGGCTTTGAACTCTATATGCTGAGAACTGATTTGCCCACAGTGAGTAGGTGATGTGTTGTTTTTAAAATGCAGCAGAAGCACAATAGAGGTTCTTTAAGAAAACACTACGCTTTGGGTTAAGGCTTTTCTACCTTGAGCCAAAAGCAAAAGTTTAAAGGATAATAATTTATCTTTGGAATTATTTCAGGAGGATATTTTTTAAATCTTCCACAAATTTAACAACAATGTGCATTTACCAGGTTCAGGTTCCCTGATTGTTGGTCGATAGGAAGAGATATATCACATGTAATAACAAGCTATTATTGTTTCATTTGAGTAAATATTAGAGGACTGAAAGCATAACCGTCAGCTGACTTACTCAAAGAGAAACTTCACGTAGTTAATCACATAGCTAGTCAACGGATGGACAGTTCCATCTAACACAGCAGTTTTTGTTGCATCCTTTTCAACTGCTTCTTCAAAATCACCGAATGTTTCTTGAGCAGTCTGTGCAAGCCGCTTGGTCAAACCAAATGCAGATTCCCTGATTTCAGAGCAAGTTTTACCATTGAAAACTTCCTCGATCTGCAAAAGAATATAGATTGCTAGCAAATAAATAACCTGCAAGACACTGCTTAAAGAACCTGTTCCTAACACATTTATCACCCCAAAGGCAGCCGAGGCTCAAACGCTACACTGACTTCCTAGGCAGAGCATCGATAGAAAATGAGACATGTAATTTATCATACAGTTTGCATTCACAAAATTTTTTAAAACCTTTAGCATATGGAAATTGTATTGGCGTCAAGATAAAATACATCCCTGAATGTTTGGCTCACCTTATCAAAAATTTAGGATGTAGAAGATCTACCAAAATGAATCTAAAAGTAGGGTGCAGGCATGGCCATAATCATGGTTCCCATGTTACATGTTTACAAGGACGTTAGAAATATGGTGGGGGGGGGGGGGGGTTTTAAAATTGCCCTGAAATTTAGAAGGGAAAAGAAAATTAATAAAGGAAATAAATCTCCGCCCTCCTTAATCCCTCACTTCCCTCCTCGGAGGGAACCCTCCAAAAAAATTTTTCTCAAAAATTATCTTGAAATTAAAAACAATTAAAGTGATTCCCAACATTCTAATATTATTAGTATGAGCGGTTTTTTTTGTGGTCATCTGATTCTTCTAGCACTTCTAATGTGTTGTCATGATAACTCTCAAGACCAAAAAGATCGAGTCGGTTGACGCCACTTGGGAACATACCTTTCTTTAAGTTAGAAGGCATGTTGTTAATTTCAGACATAGATTTCTAAGTGCCAGGCATTGCAAACTAAAAAAACAAAACTTGAAAGACACACAAGAAAGACATCAAATTTTTTTCGGTGGCCGAGCCCAATGGATCAGTCATTGATATGAAAATGAAATGAGAACAGAGCTTTGAAAAAACTACTCTATATTGGTAAAACATTGTGCTCTAAGGTGATGAATAGACAAGGTGTGTTAGTTGATTCTTTAAAAAAATTGCCCCAAAGATCTTAGCTAGAGCTATACTAGAGGTTACTATTAGATACAATTCACTACGCTGTTGGGCTTTTAAATGGCTTTTCTTACCTATCGAGCCACATTCATAAAAGTTTTTTAAAGGTATATAGATGAAGCTTTTTCTTTGGTATATTATTTTCAGGAGGACTATTTTATTTAAAATAACTGATTTCCACAAAATTATAACAACAATGATCAGACTTTTCCAGGTTCATAGTGGTTCCTCTGATTTTGGTCGATGAAGGATTATTATTCAACATGTATATACACAAATAGGCTATTAATTCGTCTTCATTTCGAGTAAATCATATAGAGGGACATGAAAGATACGTCACAGTTGAAACTTACCTCAGGAAAAAAGAAGAAACTTTCACGTAAGTTGGAATCAATAACTAGTACTGGGTTAAATGAGAAAAAGATATACCATCTATCACAGCTGGTTATTCTGTATTGCATTTCGTGTTCAACTGCTTCTTCAAAACACCGGAATGTTTCTTGAGCAGTATCTGTGGCAGCCGGCAATTGGTGTCTAATCTAACTGTCAGAAAATTCCCTAGATTATCAAGATGACAAGGTTTTACATTGAAAACATTTCATACGATCTGGCAAAAAGAATTTATAGATTTGCTAGCAAAATAACTAACCTGCAAGACACTGCTTAAAAGAACCTGCTCCTTAACACATTTATCACCCCAAAAGGCAGCGCGAGGCTCAACGCTACACTGACTTTCCTTAGGGCAGAAAAAGGCAATCGATAGAAAATGAGACATGTAATTTTATATCAGTGCTTCACAATAAATTTTTTTTAAACTTTAGGCATATGGTAATTGTTATTGTGCGTTCAAAGATAACACATACCGATCCTTGATTGTTTGGTCTCACCTTATCAAAAATTTTAGGATGTAGAAAGGATCTACCAGAAATGAATCTAAAAAGTAGGGTGCAGGGCATGGCCATAAATCTGGTTCCCATGTTACATGTTTTACAATGGACAGTATAGAAATTGTGATGCGGGTGGGGAGGGAGAGGGGGGAATTTCAATGAGGTTTCTAGTTTTAAATTGACCCTTTTTTTTTTTTTTGTGAACCTGAGCGTATATCTATTGACTGATTGTAGATTTCTATTACTATTAGGTTTTATTAATTTTCCGTTTATTAAGATCCTTGATATTGAATGTGATTGAAACTTGGTTCCTTGAGGGTACATTCGGTATAATTAATGTAAGTTCTCATATTATTATGTTTATACTAAACCAAACATATTTCTCGCAGTCAACGGACAAAAATCAGGGGCATAATTTTTTTTTTTTTTTTTGTGAACTGAGTTTAAATTGACTGAATGAGATTCATTACATATAGGTTTTATTCGATTAATAAGATCCATGAATTTGAATGAGAACTTGTTCGAGGACAAATTCGAATAATGTAAGTTTTTTATTTTTTTCTAAAATAACTATTGAGTAAGAAATCAAGCATAAATAAAGATGAAATTGCTTATGAGGGGCCAATTTATATGCAAAATTGATAGACATTACAAGTGGATTGCAAGCCGATTAAGATTCCAAATCGCAAACCAGTTTCTGCAAAATCAACTGAAAACTCATCCAAAACAGTTTAAAAGCAACCAATTGGGACCCATTACTTGTCACACACCCTAGCTTCTCTCTAATCTGCAAAAAGTCTTCAAACTTCAAAGCAAAATTTACAAGAGGATCAGGTTAATTACAAATAAACGGTTTGCATCATTTATAAACTTGCAGCATTAACCATACCTCTGAGTGAAGTTCTCGCATAATCTCATACATGTCTAGAAGTACAAATAACTTCTCTGGTGATCTCTTGCTTCTTGCAATTGCCTCACCAAAACTAAGAAGCATTGAGACACTACTAGCAGTACATCCAGCAAAACATTGATCTCGAAGAGAATCAAACCCATCAAATATTTGATCACAAACCCTTCTCTCTCCAGCAAAAAGGACCTTGACCTGCGTGAAAAGACTTAGATAGTATGAAGCACAATATATAAACATTTTTTCCAAGTTCAGCAAGTCCTTACAGCAATGCGCATGAAATGAATCCAATTCCCAATCTTGGCCTCTAACACCTCCCACTGCATCTTTTGCACATCTTCTTTGCTCAGCTTTTCAACTCCCAACTTGTGGAGGCTTTCTTCCAAAACTGAAGAGCGGGTATCCCTGAACCACAAACAACAAAGGTTGTACAGAAAAAGATGTCTCTGATTAATATAACATTTGATTTCAGCAGCTCGTGAGCCTAATCAAGTGTAATGTTTTAAAAAATTTTAAATATGATTAACCATAATATTTATAATTTTTAAATAATAAGATATAGTTTTCAGCTGAACTCAGGCGTACTTGAGTTTGTTGGAGTATTAATTTGAGAACATAAAAGAACTTACATAAATTTTTAATTGTAATACATCAAGTCAAGCAAACTCAAGTATGAAAATGGGTTCCCCTTCAAGTCAAGCTACAGCATAAAAGATTCAAAGTCAACCAAACTCAAGTCAAGCTTTGAGCATAAGTTGCCTGATTGAATCAAGTTAAATTAGCAAAACTATATTGACTCAAGTCGACTTGATTGACCTACTCAACAAATGATATCCTACTTCAATCCTCAAGCCCTAAACCCTTGATAACTCAAAGCCTAAAATCACAGTTTTTCAAGTACCATGTATCATGCAGCACCCAGCAAATGTAGGACGGCTTGGAGAATGATTAGCTTCGGATATTTTGATTTTGTTTAGGGTTTATTAAATATTTAGAATGGGTAAACATGCAAGGGAATGATTATAGATTCAAGGGAATGCATGGGTAAATATGGAAGGGTAAATATGCAAGGTTTATTAATGATTTGTTTTAGATTTGTACGGGAGTGAATTTAAGAAGCAAGAATCAAGGTAGAAGGTGGGTTATGGATTCTATAAAGCGCTATGAACAATCCACGTGAATAGTAAAAAATTAGGCTTCAAAGCTTAATTGTCCTTGGCATCACACAACTCGAAAGGCAATAATAAAACTACAGGAATTTTTTTTATTGATTATAACTGCATTTTATTAAAAGCATATATATATATATATATATATATATATATTTTGGTATATGTTGAACTGTTTTTAAATAGAAACATAATTTATTTAAGAAAAATTCTATATTATATATAAGTAATATGATATACCCCCATATATAGCTCGCACGCTCCTCCTTTAACCTTTAGAAAGGGACTTAAAAGTTGGTCCACGTTCTTCTAAGGATTGAACTCCTCTTCCAACATAATTAATTAGAATGTGAATAAATGTAATATATATATATATATATATATATAGACTCGAAGTAATCCTTAACCTTTAGAAAGGGACTTAAAAGTTGGTCCACGTCTTCTAAGGATTGAACTCCCAACAAAAAATAAAAGGAATAATATTATATGCCACTCCAACAAGGACTCAAACCAAGACTACATACAATTATATGAACTCCAAAAAGATTTAGGAATAGATTTTCAGAAAAGTAAAATTACTAAAATACCCATACTTTATAAAAGAGTATATTCAAGCAAATTTACTCCTTTATGGAGTGTCAATCAATCTCTATATGTTTGGTCTGATCATGCTTGAACTGGATTGTGGGTGATATTGATTACCACCTTATTATCACATATCAAAGGCAAACCATTGTTTCAAACAACTTCAACTCTTTCATCAACTTCCATTAGTAGCTTTACAGATGCCATGCGCATAGCTCTATATTCTGCTTCTGCATTTGACCTTGCTACTACATTTTGTTTTTTGCTCATCCATGAAACTAGGTTTCCTCCAACAAATATACAGTAACCAGATTGTTGAGCTCTTATCGTCAAGAAATCCGAATCAATCTGCATCTATAAAAGCCTTTATCTGCAGGTGTTCATGCTTTGAGAGAAATAATCCTTTTCCCAGTGTAGACTTCAGGTACTCAAAATATAGAAAACAATTTCTGTTGACTTATGTGATGTGGAATATCTTTGTATAAACTATTTAGGAGAGAATATTGCTCTTGCCTTGTATGTTTTTTCCCTATTTAGAATTAGATGCTTGTTTATAAATAGGATGCATATAATCTCATTAAACACACAAGAAATAGAGAAACAATTTTTCCCACCTGTTTCTACAATTCATCATGGTAACAAAGCGGGTTCCGGAAATTTTTGAAACAAAGGTTTTAGGGTAGCAGGGCAGCCAATCTCTTTCGTACCATCAGAGGTTGCCTGGGTGGAGAAGAAGTACACCGCCACTCCTAGAAGAAAGTCCGGCCACTGGAGACTCAACCCTTGAAATCCAGTGACCATCCAACTACGTGCAGGAGTACACGCGCCGATCATAGTTTCAGCGCCTCTGCCATGCGCCAGCACGTGAAAGCACTTTCCGGCAGTCTCTCTTAGCGGACTTACTCCGACAGTCTCCGTCTGTTCCGGCGACTCCATTCCAGCCTGATTTGTGGCCTGCTCCTTCACTTTGTCTATTTTTCGGTACTGTTTTTTCTTCCTATTTATGGGTTTTTCACATGTCTCTAGTTCTTTCAACTCTTTCCCCTTATTTGTCTGTTTTTTGACAATTATTAAATCATGGGTGATGGGACCAAAGTTACTGAAATTATTGAAATAAAGTTGGGTGTTCCCGTGGACAATCCCTCTTTACAATTAGTCCAGTTAGGCTTGATGGCACTAATTACCTTGCTTGGTCAAGGTCATGTCTATTGTTTATAAAGCTCGGGGACTACAGGGATACCTTACTGGAACTAAAATAAAAAACTAGTCCACATCCTTAAGGATATGGATTCCCGAAATAAGCTAAAATTATGTCAAACCTAACAAGGGCTCAAAATTAACCCACAAAATAAATTTAAAGAACCCTAAAGAAAAAGGGACAGATTTTATAGCCAAGCTAGAAATCACAAAACTGACTCTGATTTTGAAAAAATGGACCAGCAACTTATTTATTTAATATAATCATAAATAAAACTGTGAAAGTTATAAACCCCATATTAAATCTAGACCACTCTAAGATTCCTGCTTCTTTGTATTTATACCTTCCTGAATTCATTTTGTCCATCGTTTAGAAGTTAGTGCTATTACTTAAAACTAATGCAATAATCCAATTATCACAAACATGTTTTTCCTTTTGTCTTGGGTGCATTTTGGGAGGAGAGGGAGAGGAGGGGTGGCTTGCCATTTCAATTTACATCTCATCATGAGATGACTCAACCAAATGCATCCTTTTTCATCTAAAACTGTCACCTCTGCATACACAACCCATCCTTTTGCACCTAAATCTATCACTTCTCCAAGCATTGAGATTCTAAGTTTTGCAACCTAAGGACAGCTTCTATCTCCAAAAGCCCTCTTTTCAAAGAGCAAAATCATGTGACAACCAACAGATGGCTGAATAAAACAGGCTCTCTTTCAAACTAACATTAAGTTAATTGAATTACAATGGTTTTGTTTCAAAACAAGCGGCAAAAATCCAGAAATTTACCCAGGTGCTAACCAATAATGTCATTATTTTGATCACCCATTGGCCTTCTTAAAGAGTCACATAAAAAAGAATATTAATGAGATTCACACAAATCTTTTTACATAGGATATTGGTAGGAAGCCAGGTTTATTCAAGATCAGAAACAGAAATGGGTTAAGCAACTTGGAAAAGAGAGAGAAAGAGCAAAGAAATGTTGTCAAGTCATCAGGGTTGATCCAATGTATAATGTCAAAGGTTAATCATCATTAGACACAAAGAAGTCTTCAGCAGATACCCCAAACAAGCAGAAATCAGCATGTACACTATGTTGAGAAACAAACTAACTGCAACATAACAGGAACTAATATAACTGCAACATAATTTTCAATCTGGAAAATAAGTGCATCTTTTGTTGGTATAAAGTCCCATCACTTTTGAACAAAAAGCCAAATCTCTGATTTTTTTTCTAATGGACACAAGGAAAAAACTGATGTTACATTATCAGTCTCCAAGGCCCCAGATACCAATACCCTGTCCACGTCATAGAAGCTGTGAACATGAAAAGTTTCAAGTGCAGCAGTGAAAATTCAGAAATGCAGTTTTTTCAACAGAAAAAAAAAAAAAAAAAAAAAAAATATCATAATTTATACAATCATGAAGCAAGAGTAAGGGTGAGCATTCATCTTTGTTATAGAAATAATAAAGTACCCAATCCTTTAATTGAAACAAAACTGCAAATCTCTTGATTTTTTTTCTTAATGAACCAGGAAAAAACTGAATGTTACATTATCAGTCTCCAGGCCCCAGTACCATACCCTTGTCCACGTCCATTAGAAGCTGTTGAACATGAAAAGTTTCAAGTGGCAGCAGTAAATTCAAAATGCAGTTTTTTTCAACGAAAAAAAAAAAAAAAAAAAAAAAAGGTGGGCAATAGAGCATGTACGGGAACGAATTTTATATATTAACGCTCAAATAAATAAAAAAAAAAAAAAAAAAAAAAAAGAGTGGGCAATAGAGCATGGGGAACGAATTTTATATATTAAGTAAAAATAAATGGACTTCATTAGCACATGAATGAAACAAGAACATTAAAAAACTTAAGAATGATGAAGCTCTTTACCCATAGATTTTATGTAATTGCTGCTGGTGTCCTGCCTGAACCATTTGTTGTGCTAAATCATGCAATAAAGGTAGAATCCTTGGAGGTATAAGAGTGAGATGTTTGAAACCCCCAGTTTCTGAACTATCATTATGTTGTTCAGAATGATTATGATGTTTTCCACCATTATGGTTTGCAGGTGAACCTGAAGATGGTTGCATTGATTCAGGGAGGCATTCAAAGAGACGATCAGGCTCCACAGGCTTACTGAAATTTTTAAATAAAGCAATTAAATAAAACCATTAATATGATTGAAGTTGGATTCAAGGCATCAACAGGTGACATGCATCATATCACAAACGAATAAGCATGACAAAGCAAACCCATAACTGCTTAAAAAAACAAAATCTAAAATTTATTAACAAAAGATATAGAAATTTAAAATAAAAAAGTTTATTTGAGCATGATTATTGTCTAATGTCCTGAATCCAATGTTAGAAGCTAACTGATTCAATGAATTTTATATTCCCATTGCCAATATAAAAATGTATTATACATATTCATATTGTACATCCACAAAGTTTATGCTAAATATTCAAAAACAATCTAGCAAATCAAACCCTCGGAGTCATACAAGTTTGTTAGCGCAAGAAGCGCAATCAGAGGAAAAAATATCTGCTTAATTCAACTTATGGTCATTGAAATTACTATCAGTTTCAACATGATAACTAAAGTTTTAATTTGTATCAGCAATCCGTCAACTTCAAATAGTTGTTTCAATAAGGCCACTATTGCTCGATTTAGTAGAATTTTACTCATGCCTAACATAATATAATAATCAAAGTAAAACTTCTCAAATCTGTATATCTACAGACTATAGGATAAGTTAATCTTCACAATAGAGAAAAAGAAAAGGTCTGAATCTCTACAAAAATTAATACTCACCTTATTGAGATAAAATCCACATTGAGCGATTTACCGATACAAATTAAAATTCAGTGAGCTATGCTAAACTTTGGTGATCATCTGATTGACCATAATTAATAATGCAATGTCCCATGGGACCCAGCTTCTTTCAAAGTTATAAAAGTAGATCATTGTCAATGATCACAAGAGATAAAATAGAAATGTAAAGTTTCTTAATCTTGAAAAGAAGCACCAGTTGGTCAAAGAGGGAAAAGGCTGACATACAATATTAGATAGCTTTAGATTCATCATTCGGCACAGCACATACCTATAAGACGCTAATAGCTGCTTAAACTCCTCCTCCAGCTTTGAGATAGCTTTAGCAAGCAAATCATTTGCATTGTTGAGCACTGCCTCACTGCTCTTAAAGCCTTTACTACTGCTGAAAAAACGAATGATGCTTCTTAGCTGATCAATTGCTGCAAGGTAACTTTCCAAATCCTCATGTGGTCCTCTAAGTATTTTAGCCTCTGCCTAAAATGATTATAACAGTCAAAACCAGGAAATGCACCTTAAGTTGGTAGGAACTCTGAGACTCTAAAAATAACCATTGCACGGTAAATGCCCGGAAAGTTTAAGAACACATGACCAACTCCCACAAAAAAGGTATACTTAAGATTCCTTATTAAGAAAAATGGAATAGTGAATACTCCAAAAAAATAAACTTTTCCATTGCAAAGTGTTTTTCACTGAGGCAAAGATGTTAGAACAAATCCCTGTAGGACGATAAGGGTAATGTAGACTAGGAAAAGGAAATCCAGGAATAACTTCATTTAACCATTAGTTTTTATTTCTTTCGGTTTTATTACAAAACTTGACTAGTTATGAGCTCTGTCTATAGTTGTTACTTTCATAAAACGTTAAAGTTCTAATATTTTAATAGAATGTATTACTGGCACCAATAGTTTTTTATTTTAGTTGTTTCTTAGTGCCTATAATTGAAATTTAGACAATCAATATAATGATAGTTTACAAAGGTTGGTCATCTTTGAATTGAGATCAAATCTTTGCATAACAGGGTGGCCAAAGGTCACAGAGTCAAGTCACAGAAACAGCCTCTTCAAAAATATAGAAATACTTGTAGCATCATATGTGCCGATAATCTAGCTTCTGTCCAACAAAATGAATATCTTTTCAACGAAATTCCCCTGTGCTTGCCCAATTATTCTGTGTGAGAGATTATTCATGCAGCACACAATGAGAGAGAACCTAGAAATTTTGAAAGTAATAAGTTCGATTGGCCAAGACTAAAAAGAGATGTTGCTAGGTTTGTTACTTGATGCCAAATTTGTTGAATACACAATAACAGAGGAAAACACAAGTTAGTAAAAGCCACTGTCTGGAAACATCTGACTGTGGATTATGTACTTGGATTGCCTAAAACTATAAGGGGTCAAGATTTAATTTTTGCAGTAGTTTATCATTACCTCATGATGGCTCATTTCATATCTAGTTGTATGACCCTTTTCAATGCTCATAGTATCTCATCACTTGACTTTCAACGAAGTTTTGAACCGCATAGATTGACCACATAACAAATTAACAATTGTTTCAAATCATGACACAAGTTCATGAATTAACTTCTAAAGAATGAAAATAAATTCAACATTCTTTGTAAGCAAAAGTCATTAGTTGAAGTTTAGGTACCTCTTCCATTGTTATCTTCATGATCGTGTTGGTAATTGAGAGAACACTCTTCAAAGCTTACAATGATTCCATGAAATTTAAAAGTAGACGGAAAGCTTTTGAAATTGCATTAAATGTTCTTTTACAGAAATCCAATGATTTGGTTCCTTTATTTATTAAGTCTCATCCTAGTGTAGACATGCATGCTTTTTGTCAAGTAACACAAATTATCCCTAGTATGAAATGTAAATCACATGCTAATTTAAGGAAAGGCTTTGCTGAATATGAAGGGGATATGACATGGTTAAGTGCCCATAGATCAAAATGGTTTCCAAGGATGCTTACAAAGAGCTTCATTCAAGGAGTGTTAGCCCTCATAAAGCTATCTAGAAAATCAATTCAAATGCTCATGAACTTGATCTACCCAATGATGGTACTAAACAATGCTTTCAATAGTGAACTCACATGTTATCACGGGCATAAAACAGATATGCTTGCTAATGCTATTATTATTCAAATTCCATTATCATTGTGTAAGAAATAAAATAAACAGAAGACCTTATTGATAATTAGGTGGTTTGTAACAAAGGGAATGGCTATTGCTTGTTAAATGAATGGATCATCTGCAATCTAATTGCACATGGATCACTAAGGAGGGAGGATTACCACAGCTTAATATGAATTTATAGGTTACACACGTTTCAGACAAAAAGGTTATCTTGTGGGTTTTATCCAACTTGGTAGGGCAGCCTTATTCTTTTAGCTTGATTTTTATGTTCTTGTTGTTTGTAGCTGTTTGTTTAGCAAGAGCAGTCCTTGTACTTCATGGGGCACTCTCCTTTCTTCTAAATTTATTTTTCATTTTCCCACTGTATCATGGCTTAAACTACAAAAGTAGCCTGAACTTTGCAACTTGTTGCAAAATTACTCTATTTTGACCTTTATACACCGGGTACCCCATGTAACACCCGCTGCCCAATCCCGGAAGATTAGACTACAAATGCCACATTAAGTGCTGGAGGCACCATCCTCAGATACAGATTTAAATCTTATTCACCAATGTCTTTAGCTTATAAGATTTGAATCTGTATATGAGGATGCTGCCTCTAACACCAAATGTAGCGTCCACCGTCTAATCTTGCAGGATCGGGCAGCAGGTGTTACACCCCAGTTTTAAAACTTAGATATATTGGCACCCCAAAGTCAAAAGTGGCAGATTTTTGAATAAAATAGTATATTAGTAGGGCCCACTATTTATCCTTGGGTTAACATAACCCAAGGAATTAAAATGCAACATTTTGTAAAAAATCAAAACACTTTGTCTTTCCTAAAACCATCAATCTCTAAACAACCAAAATTTTATTAAAAAATAATTGATAAAATCGATTTGATTACTTGAATGGATGGCTTAATTGCAAAAGATATGGAAAGAAAGCAACAATGGCTTAGAGGAAGAGGAATGGCAAATTGGTAATAAGAAAGAAGACAGATAGTTGTTTTTGATTACAAGCTCTTTTTCAAGTTTCAACCACACACAACAAACAAGAGAAATATTTACAGAGAGACCAAATCTCAAAAATAACAATCATAAAAAGGAAGGAATTTGGATTAAAAATCCATAAAAATTAAAAAAAAAAAAGAAAGAAATGGAGCAAGAGATCAATCTGAGTGCAAATCACCGATCGTTGTCATCTTCATCATCATCAGCAAAATTGAAATCGAGGAGATTAGCAGTATTGGGATTATATCAGAGATAGGTCCATAGAGAGAAAGTAAGACGACCTAAATTGTTGAGAGGTAAGCAAAATAGCAAATTCAAGACTTGATCACTCTTGTGAAATTGTTTTCAGTGTGTTACCCAAATGTTACTCACTAAACACAAATTGCAGAAACGAAATCGTGAATAGCAATTCAAAGAAAGAGAAAGGAATTCAAGAGGAATAGAGAGATGGGACACGAGATCGTGGAGAGCGATTCAACCATGGAGATAAATGGTTTTGGGAGAAACAAAGTGTTTTAGTTGTTTATAAACATAGTGTTTTTAGTTCCTTAAGTTAAGTTAACCCAAGGATAACTAGTGGGTCCCATTAATATAATATTTTATTCAAAATCCTATATCACTTTTGAATTTGGGTTGCCAATATATCTATGTTTCAAAACTGGGGTGCCTGGGATACAAAGGTCAAAGTAGAGTGATTTTCCAACAAGTGACAAAGTTCAGAGTATTTTTATAGTTTAATCCCTATATCATATTATGAATCTTTGGCAATCTAAATATTGATCCTTTTCATTTTATACAGAAGTCCAAAACCTTGTAGAAGTAGGCCTAGTTTATAACGACTTTTCAGTTTTACAACTACTTTGAGCATATATATTTAAATATATGTTATAGCTAAATCCGACCTAGGTTTGATGCCATTGAGTTGTGACACATTTGTTGTCAAACCAATAAAATTACTTTGAAATTTTTTTTTTTTTTATTGTAATGACATAAAGGCATGGTCTATAGTAAAGACTTGCTCAAGATAAGGAGTGAACTTAACCCAATCTAGAAGCTTTCTATCAGTATGGCAACCACTAAATTTAGGTATGGCCTAAAATATGGGGAGTCGGGTAAAAAGTACACTATACTTGTCGTCCCTTTCAAGTCTCTTCACTTAAGCGCCATTATATCAAGCTTAGTAGCTTAGTTGATTGCTTAGCTTATTTTTCCTTGAAGGTTGCAATAAAGACAATTAATCATCTAATATTAAGTATTCTGCTCTGCAAAACCAAACAAATGGAATTAGAGCACTATGTTTTTTCAGGGGCTTATAACAAAAATTAACCTCAATTTTTTATCCAATACCATAGTGCAATAGAAAATCAAAACAAGAAAATTGGAGACAAGTGCTCTACAATCTCCATAATTTTAAAGTTCTCCAAGAAATCAAGAAGTTTGCAGAGGAGTTCTCAATGAAAGATAAACAAGAAATTGGATAGAAGTGCTTCGTGAAAAAAATCTAAGAGCTAGAGAGAAGTGCTCCACGAACATAAAGTAAATCATCAACTTGGGGCGATGGTACTCCAAGAAGACCTAAGCAAATTCCAAACTAAAAAAATTGATTAAAACATCTTTTAAAGGATCAAAGCAAGTACAAGAAAAACTACCAAAGAACATCATTGAAGGCCATGACCCATTATTTCTCATTTTATGTTCTCGAAAATGAAGCAGAAAAATAACCTAAAGAAGAACATCATTTGAAGAATCCAGAGATGATCCCAAGGATGAGTTACGCTCTATGATGAGACTGAAGTCGGTTAGGAGTCACAAACAAAAACAGAAAATTTCAGCACAGTTGTTTAAGAATACTAGAAATTTCAACTAAAAATGTGGAGAACGAAAATACTCTAACAAAAAGGGGCATATGACATGAAGGCTTAGAGAGAGGACTCCAAAATAAAAATTGGAAAAAAAATTTGATATTTTCAGCAAAAGTGCCAAGGAAAATTGTTTTGTAAATTGTTGTCACACCAATGAAATTAACTTGATAATTTTTTTGTTTATTGTAATAATGACACATGTAAAGGCTGAAAGTGTTTTGAGGATTTGGAGTTCTTGATGATTTGTATTGATGTATAAGGCCCTTTAAATAGGGAGAATACAAACAGAATATGGAAAGGAATTACAGAGATTAATTACAGGAAATTAATTGTAAAATTGTTTCACACCGAATGAAACAGTAACTTGATAACTTTTTTGTTTATTGAATAATGACCCACATGGTTAAAGGCTGAAAGTTGTTTTGAGGAATTTGAGTTCTTGATGATTTGTACTGATGTATAAGGCCCTTTAAATAGGCGAGATT